CTGGGTGAGTTCTCTTCAGAAGCACAAGTCCATTCTAGTTTCATAAATGATTTAACTCATGGTTTCTTCCATTCTTGTTTCATGCATGATTGTAGAAATTCTATCGAGTTCTTCCAGAGCACAAGGCCAGAGCGGACCAGATCGTGCTGCGCCAATGCAAAAAGAAGGCCCGCCAGATGCAGTACGAGGTGCGCTATGTGGACATCTCGACATACCATCACGACGCTCTTGGTGTGAAGACGACCAAGGAAGAAGCGCGGAGGATGAGCATTACCTTGGAGAGGCACAAGTACTTGGCGGTAAGTATAAAAGATTTTTTCATTAAGCTTTCATTACCTTGTGGTACATTTCACCATTTCGTGTTGACATGCCATTATGCTTTCATTATGTAGGTGTGTCCAAATTGGTGTTATGGAAAAGACGAGTCCTGGGCGGCATTGGTGGATCTTTGGTGTGATGAGGCTGGAGCTTGGGCGGCTACGAGAATCAGAAACAAGGCTAACCAAGGGAAGGAGGGAGTACATGCTCAGGGAAACCGAAACCACTTTCTCCACAAGGCACTTAATGTATGACTAACCCCATTAAACATTCTTCTTCTTCTATTTACCATCACTTTCTTATGTATGACTAACCTCTGTTTGGTGGTGCAGGAGGAGAAACTGAAGCGGCCGCTCTCACACATGGAGGCGTGGGAGGTCGCCCATACGCGGAAGGACTCCAAGCCTGGCGAGCCCAAGTACTACGGCAAAAAGACCGCACACAGGAAGAAGGCCTACTCCTAGGGGTATCTAAAGTTACATCCTGACACACCTGACCCCATTGCGGCGGATCTGGACGATAGGGTGGTGGTGGGCATGGGGCCCAAGGAGCACGGTCGGGAGGTGGTTCTCGATGTTGTGATCACTCCTACTATCTCCTACACACAGCTCCGTCGGATCGACCCGAGCCAGAGCCAGCGCACGAGCACGCCAATGACCAGTGCACTGTCACAGTCCCTCTTTCAGGAGCGACAATCTGTAAGTATTTTCCCTCTTATCTTCATTGCTCACTTTATTTTCTACATTTAGTAGTTTTATGAGTTCCATCATGTCATACCGTAGGCCTACCTGGAGTACACACGCCAGGAGACCATGGCGTGGCACGAGAGCCTTTATGCATACCATCAGCAGAGGGATCGCCAGATGTAGCACGCTTTTCAGGAAATGGCGGTCGGCAGGTGTCCTCAATGGCCAGCAGCAGAGGGTCCTCCAGCACAACTAACACTGCTGACCTTTGAGGAGTTTGTGGCACAGAAAGCTGGCCCCTCGCCGGTTAGTTCATCCCCAATCTATTCACCCAAAGCATATCATGCCTTTCAACACAGTCATATATCCCGGTAATATGTCTTTTCAACATCCAGGGAACCGGTGGATCAGCCGTTGGCGGTGGTCTTCGCAGCACTCCCGAGTCACGGAGCCCGACCACTCCGATCCACGGAGGCGGAGGTGGAGGTGGAGGCGGTCTTGGCGGTAGCGTTGCCGCTAGCAGTGACGACCTGGCCTTCGGCCGTCTTGGCGGTGACGACCTCCGCGGTGCTCGACATCCTAACGCTTAAGCCTTTGGGTCACATTGTGGCGGTCTTGGTGGTGATGATACTTATATGCTTGTGATGTTTCTTATTATTGTTTGTGAGATTCTTATATGCTTGGTGGTGATGATACTTATATGTTTATGCTTTGGGATGCTTCTTATAATGTGTGATGATGAATTTGTTGTGTGATGCTGCTCCTTATTGTTATGTGATGCTGCTTCTTATGATATATATGTTGTATATATTCAAATGAATTGAGCTGGAAAAAACAGAAAAAAGAAAAAAAACAGACGCAAACTATGCCGACGGCTAGGCCATCGGCATAGAGCTGGCGTGAGCTCCCAGTGGCTGACACGTGGGCATCTACGCCGACGGCCTAGCCATCGGCATAGTTCCAAACTAAGCCGACGGCTAGGCTGTCGGCATAGATGCCCACGTGTCAGTCACTGGGAGCTCCTGGGGCAAGGCTATGCCGACGGCCTAGCCGTCGGCATAGCTTCGAACTAAGCCGACGGCTAGGCCGTCGACATAGCTCTGCCCCAGGAGTGACGACTGCTCGCCACGTGGCGTTCTGCCGTTGGTCAGCACTTGATGGCAACCGCCGTTAGGCGACAACGTTGTCGACGGCCAGGGCCGTCGGCATAGATGTATGGACACCGTCGGGATAGGGCCTATGCCAACGGCCTTTCTATGCCGACGGCCTCCCTGGCTACGCCGACGGAGGCTTGTCCCGATGGCCAGTCAGGGCTATGCCGACGGCCCTGGCCGTCGGCATAGGGGCCGAATTTGATAGTGTTTTGTGTTTGTTTTCATCTTCTCAATCTATTGTACTATGTTTATACTCATTCCATGAAGTTAGTTCGTTGGTAAAAAATGATAAAGACACCGAGCAGATATTGCAGTTCCAGCAGCCGCAACCCATATTTATGGAATGATCTCAATACAAGTCCAGATATATCGAGGCACAGAAAGACATGTTTTTTTTCGAATTGTTTGGATTGTTTACCACATGTGTCACGTGGTCATAGAAAGACATGTTTGGATATTGACGGGAATAAACAGTAGTGTTTTCATCCTTATCCAGAACTAATAAAATATCAACCCATATCAAGCATACGATCATATACACACGTTTCATGTAACTAAACTATACATATTGGCATATACATTTATAGGGAGTGTCAAATTCGGATGACCAAGATTATGTTGAATTGAAGTCAACAATTTGAGCGATAGTTTTTTTTTTGACAGAATTGAGCGATAGTTTCTTGATCGAATGGTAATAGAATAATTGCTCGTGCTAGAAACTATGTTGCATTTTAAGGTTTATAAATGCTTCAACTCGCCAACTACACATTTTAAAGGATTAAAGTAGCACATATATTTATAATATAGCTACGAGCTTAAGATCGTGCAACTCGGTCAACCTTTTTTTTAGAAAAGGAGGTTAAACCCCTGGCCTCTGCATCAACCGATGCATGCAGACATCTTTATTAATTATTTCACAAAGGTCTGACAAAAACATATCAATCCACCCGAAACCATCACTCACACGGTCACGCCTACAAACTCGATAATGTGAAGTGCTCTCACTTTTCATATCTAAAACCGGTGTCGCCGCCAATTCATTCATATAACTTATCGGGACCAATAGTCGGTGCAGCAGACCTAAAGCGCACACCACATGCACATGCTTTAGAAGCCGCCATCATCAGCGAACCACTGACCCATACTCAGGAGAGAGATCCGCATCATCCTTGTCAGTCCGGACATCCGTCGATGCCACCACGACGCCCAGCTGCACCACCGCCCTGCGCTCATCTGTCCAGACGCGAAGACTCTGGAAGAATGTCGTGCGTAGCACCTGCAAACCAGGCATGACTCAGCGTAGCACCTGTCGGCCAGGCATGACGAGACAGCTCCACCAATGCTTCGTGCAAGACAAAGCCGCTCCTCCTCCTGCTTCTGCCATCCAGCGCTGCTCCACAAACGATGCTTCCAAGAGAGAAACGGCACATCAGTACCGCCATCGTCCGATCTGGAAGACCAGATCCTATGGTTTCCCCCAAAGCAGTGCCCACCACCAGCAACCGTCAAGGACCCACACGGTGCCCACCACCACTCAGCCCTCAAGGCGACGCC